CTCCTGTCGTCGAGGTCGCATAGTACTGCGTGCCAAGGGGTACCTGTGCGTGGTCGAACGCGGCAGTGTGGTTGCATTCCAGGGCAATGATCGCCGTTTGCGCAAGTTCCAGGACGTTGTGTGCTTTCGTTATATAGTCGTTCACTTGCTCCTGATCCTCCCCTGAGAGTGACTCTGCCAGGGAATCACAGGTAGCAGTGAACGATTCTAGCGCCCCAACAAGCAGTTTCGTGTGACCCTTAAGTTGGAACTCCAGGGTTGTTACCTGCTTGGACATACCATTGTCTGGGTCCGCCTTTATGATATTTTCATTCTCCTTCAGGATACGTTCCAAGGTATTACTGTATCGCGTTAACAGTGATTTCTGAGACTTCAAAGTTACAGACCTTGTTATGGGAACCATCTATTGCAAAGCAAAGGAAGGCGAATATGAAAAGAAAACGAAGTGTTGAGGAAAAATTGTTGCTTCTGCGCCGTCGATCTACCTGAGAGGTTTCGTTTACGCAACTCGTCGCCAATCTCTACCTAGGCGCTGCGCCGAAGTTGCTCTGAAAGTAAGTAAAGGCGTACCAGTGTCCTTTCGTACCGGCCGATGCACCATAAAGTTGATCCGCAGTGTGTTGAGACTGACTGAGCTTCACGCTTTATCCGACGACTTGCTAATAGAGCAACAGACGAAGCAACTGAACCTTACTCTAATCTATATCATGCCTAAGCCTAGTTAGATAAGATACGTCAAAGCTCATATAAGATAGTGTGCTGCCAGATCCGATAAGATACCATTCTTTCTTCAGATTCTTACTCTGTTGGTCTTCCTGTATATTGGACCTGTTCAAACACAACATTACACAACATTTACTAACAACAAACAACAAAACGCAAACATAAACACAGTACATAGCGTAGCGCAACTTAGGGAAAGAATCGCAGCAGCGATAAGAGAAGCACTGTTTTCTTGTCTCGCCGTCTAGTCGTATTCAGTCTGGCTGCAAATTTATGATAAATTGATGTAGTGAAAAAGAAACCGCCTCACAGCAGAAAGTGAAGTTATTCAGAGTATGACAAGGGAACCATTAGTTGTGCGATAGGGTTGTCCTTCCTGAAGCTCGTCCACAGGTTCATATTTCTATGTCTCTGCGATCTGGACTGAAGATGAATACAAGTCGCACGTTACATAGAGCGGTTTGACTTGAAGCTTCAAGTTTTATTCATATTAAGCGGTTTCTGGATAGAAGTGTGGCTTATGTAATCGAGAGACTTTCTTGTTGCAGCTATAGTAAACCCTCGGATCAAATCCGCGTCGAGTGATTTTTGTATAGTAGGCCCAAAATACATATTGTACTCATTAGGAAGAGGAAAATTTCTATTTTTCAAGTTCGTCTGGTTCTGTGGTTCAATGGTAAGTTATGTTCGAACCAACCCATGTCCATGAAAAATCAAAAATTCGCTTCTACCGAAAATTCCTCGCGTTATCCAAGGACCGAGGCCGTATGAACACTTCTTTTGTAGCGGGTCATACCATACGAGTGATTTTGCATTTGTAGGATCCTGAGGGCTTGCGATGCATAGTTCCTCCTCTTAAAAAGAGACATGAGCCTAGGTTGCGGATCGCAAGTTACAGTTGGCGCAGCAGCCGCAGCTGTGAATTCGCTTTAGGCGGGTATTACGGTAGCAGCAGCGAGTACGCAATTGCACGGCGTGATTGGTGGTATTTATAAAGGTCTACGGGCTTTTGTCAACCGCGGCAATGGGTGACTCAGCAATTTGTCGCGTCGTCGGTCGTCTCGCACACCCTCGTCGACGCTGCGTCTCCGCTTAGAAAGGCTTGAGCGCAGACAGAAGGGGTGTCCATCGCCGCAACCACCAATTCACATGATTATCGCGTGCGTCGCTCGTGACTGGTCACTCTCTGACAGGGCATAGCGGGTCGTATTTGTTGGAGACAAATTTATTTTGATAGTTGATTTTATCTTGTGGAAAAGTGGGGGGTCGTATTAATTTTTTTTATGCATTATATGCACCCTGTACACCCGCCGGATATACGTTGCATAATTATTGTATATGTTCTGGATTGCCACCAGAACCTGCCGGTGCATCCTTTTATGACTGACTGATTGATATGTATAACCCATAGGGAACATTGAGACATGTGATTATGACCCATAGGTAAATAGATACTCGATGCGTGACCTCTCCTGTATTGAGAGGCACGCCTAGATTAAGTTAGCATTCTACCATGTCCACCACCGAGACCACCCCGTCTCGGACTACCTAGAGACCACCCCGTCTCAACTACATTGTATTCCATCGCAACTACAACGAGATCACCCCGTAAAGCTACAACGAGACCACCCCATAAAGCTATATAACCCTTCATAGTTATACCCCCCCGCTCGACAACTTTTCGCCGACTATATATTTATGGCTCGGCGACTGGCGAAGAAGGTGTCGAAGGGGGGGGGGGGTCGTGGCCTGTACCCCATCAGGGGGGGGGTCGTACTCTCACCGACATTTCGCCTATCCCCATGCTGTACCCTGCTCTCTGATGCTACTGGTTCGTTAAGAAAATAGGGATTACCGAGAAGATCTTGACTGTAAGAACGAACTCAACCCTTCTCGCTTGCTTCTATTACATTGAGGTGGAATTGGTGTTTGCTGAAAAATAATTGGAGGAATCACCAACCATTACCATGCCATTCATCTTTAACCGTTTACAGATCCAATAGCAACGGAAAAGCAGCGCATTTGTCCACTTGTTCAAAAGCTGGGAGGGAATGGAAGGGTTTTGGTGATCTGTTAACTAAGACTTTTGTTCTGCCATGCAATTGATAACACTGAGTTTATCAAAGAACTTTTATAATATTAAATGGGATTAGTTACAACTAATGAGCCAGTCTTCTAGCCAGAAAATCTAAGAAATCTTTGCAATCTCTCGTGGTGGGAGGGACCCCACGAGAGTGGGTTTCACTGAATCTTCGAAGTTCAGTGTACTGTATTTCAAACGACCGGAAGTCCACCAGGGATTCCAACTCAGGACCGCGCTCACCACTCGCGCGGTCCTGAGTTCGAATCCCTGGTAGACTTCCGGTCAACTTCCGGTCGATTTCCCGCTCAGGCCAACCAAGCCTTCTACCCTTCCCCATAAATTGGTAGGAGTTTCGTTTGAGAGGATAAAACACTGACTTGTACATCGGCTGGCCCCCGCAAGTCATTGTATAGGCCACATCGCATTCAATAAGCCACTACGATTCTGAATGGAAGTAGAATGCGTGCCGCATCCCACAAAGGGATTGTTCAACGGCGAAGACTTTATCTTTTATCTTATCTCATAACCTGGGTGGACTACCTACCTAACACTTTGCGTAGTTTTCGTGGCTAGCTATCATTCCTGTTATTCAAGCCGTCCACCTTTCCCTTATTTCAGCTTTAAATCCTGTTAACCTTAAAATTCACCCTCCAGTCGCCACTGACACAAAATAAGGGACGAATAGTGAATCCTCAAGGTGTTCTCATTCAGTCTTAACCTCTCGTGGCTGAAATCACTTCACGTGTCTTCTTCCTACGAGAGACCGCCTTGCAGGAGAGGACAGACGACGAGCGTACACGCCCATCTCCCGGCGACGGCCGGCACACGTCATAACCGCCTCGTCGTCTAATTCTCATAGCTAGAGAAATTTCGGTTGACATCTGCCCCGTAACCATTTATAAATAACATCCTGCCTAACTTTTCTCTGTCTTGCGCTGTATCTGTAGCTATATATCAGCACTAATTTTAGTAGTATTTTTTGTACATTCTTTCGCACCTCTGCTGTCTTTGTCCTCTTCTGTGTTATTGATCATGTTATCAGCAGTAATAGTAGATAAATTTAAACAAATCAAAGTGACCCTGTGCAAAGTTACGCTCCCCTGAGGCGCTTGCAAGATTAAAACTATAAACGCGCTTTGGGGTGGGGTATTGGCCGATTCCGCTTAAGGGGTCCTTTAAAGCTATGAAAAGTTGTAACGCTCGTTCCCACTTCGTTTTCTAAGGATTTTTGGCGCTATTTACCCTTTACTGCCCCAGTCATCCGAAATCAGGCCAGTTCCTGACCGACTTTTTTCTCCGTGGGCAGATTTTGCTCAAATGTTGTCTCCTGGGGTAGTTTGACCTCCAGAATACGAATATCACATTCGCTCAGCCCGAAACTTCCTGGCGCCCGCGCCACAGGCGCCAATGATTTGGGGTATTTTGGCGCCGGTGCCCGTGGTGCGAGCGCCAGGAGGTTTCGGGTATGTGATATTCGTGTTCAGGGGGTCAAACTACCCCTGGGAGCAAGTTTTCAGCGAATTTGGTGATTTCGAGTATTTTGGCGCCGGCGCCCGTGGCGCGGGCGCCAGGAGGTTTCGGGTCAAGGATGCGATATTCGTGTTCAGCGGGTCGAACTACCCCTGGAGTGATTTCGGATGGCAGGGCAGTAAAGGGTTAATAGTGCCGGATTTTTTTTTCTTATTTCGGATAGCATTAGGCGTTCGAAGGTGCGAACAAACGATTGTGAGTAAGAAAGAAAAATATGAGGATTTTGGCCTAATCCCATTCCAGCGTGGGTGAGGCCACTGCAAAATGTGGAAAGAGTTTTTGCATTTCGTGAGAATCGACTTCGAACCACAAGAGTGTTGAACTCCTAAGAGTCCTAAATGGTGAAAGGGGCCGCATTAGTGGACTCAAATGGCTTACGTGCTATGCTCTGGAATGAATCCACTGTGGATTACTATTGAGAGGGACAAGGGAAGTGGTAAACATCTTAAATAAGAAAGAAAAGTAAAGCACAAAATTGATCTTAGTATAATAGACTTCAAAGCCAGGTGAATTCCGCGCCCCAACAACAATGTGCACTTGTTTTGTTCCTGGTCCTTCAGCCAGTCTGATCCATCGTCTTATTTTTTTCTCGTGGGCTCTGCTCGAGGTAACTTTTTGAACACAGTTTCTCTAGCGTAGGTCTTTTAGGGTACCAACAGGCTAAATGGCCGGCACAGGGAAAGAGCGTAAGAAGGTTGCTGTTCTTCTCGAGAAGGAAGCCGAAATTCAGAAGTTATGGGAGGAAAACAAAGTGTTCGAGATAGATGCTGACAGCAAGTTCGATGTTTTTTTGCACGAATTTTAATAGGTTATTTGGTGAGGCATGTTATTGTAGAGATTCGCCGAAGTACTTAACTACCTTCCCATACCCGTACATGAATGGACGCCTCCATCTTGGTCACACTTTTACACTTTCTAAATGCGAGGTAACAAAAGAGTTTTTTGTGGCTCTTATCTGAATAGCATATTTCATTTTAGTTTGCTGTGGGTTATCAACGACTTATTGGGAAAAGATGTTTGTTTCCATTCGGCTTTCATTGTACAGGAATGCCTATAAAGGCTTGTGCTGACAAGCTGAAGCGGGAGATGGAAGACTTCGGATATCCTCCACAGTGAGCCCATGTTTTGTTCTAGCAAATGGAGTTGCCACTCGTAACAGGAGCAGTAGATTCTATATGGTCACGTTAAGCTTGGCTTGAAAGGCTCAACTGTAGTTATACTCGAAATCCCTGAGATCGGGTAGGCGTGGCCGCATGTTTCAACTTAACCTGAAGGTGTCTATGCTTCTGGTGAGATATTTTCATCTTGACACAATTGTTGTCGTGTCTCTGTCCAACACAGAACAAGATGACAGTTGTCCCAGACTGGAATATTCCACGAGTAACCAGTTCCGTGCCATGTTCAAATGCCACGCCTACTCTGGCTAAGGGATAAAGAGTGTAAAAACGCGGCTTTTCCTTTGTACATTTTGAAAGGTGAATGGAGGTCATAATGAATGAATGGAGATTATTCTAAGTTACAGTGAATTCCAAGCCTAGTTACTGTCATTCCAAGTCATCGCAGGGGTGGCGGGATGCAATTGAGGGATAATTAGAATGACTTACTATCGGCCATACAACTTCGAGCAATAGACTCAAAAACGGTCCCTGAAAAGTGAAAATAAAATAAGCTAGGTGACAGAACTTGTTTGGTGTTGTGCGGTAGCAACAGTCTGTAACTATCTGGGTTACTCGGCTGCTCTTGTACTAGATCATCTTCAGCCTACTCCATGACACATCCGCGGCTAGGAAAAATACTCCGTAAGAATTGTCAGGACATAGGCGCCCACGTGCCTTCACGTCTACGGATTTCTTTAATTGAATTTCTCAGGGCGACGTTCTCTTTATGCTGCTCTTTTTTCTGGGTGGCTTCTGTCACTGCTTCCATGCATTCAAGATAGGTTTCTCTTTGTCTGCGAGTGAATATTGAGCGCCGCACGCTACCTTGACACGCTTGTCACATAGTATGAACGCATATACAATTTGATTTCCGCATCGTCGATTGATCATGTAATTCGACGTGGTCACCTAATCTTCGAAAAACATACAAAGTGCTCTGACTGCGAAGGTGGTTTGCAGTACTTCATCCAGCTGTACTTAATTTAATGCACATTTCCATAGCCTCCATTGGTCCTTAACCTGATGCTTCTCAACTTGGAGTGTATTTCAGATTCCCGCTCGAAGAGGAAG